ACCGTCCCCGCGCGCCTCCCTGCCTCGCTGCGGCGCCTAACGCACACGCGCGCGCCGGCCGCTCCCGAGCCGACTGCCGGCCCTCCGCGACGTCAGCACGTCTTGTAGGACGCAGCGCCCGCCGAAGCCCGCTCCCTCCGCCAGGAAAATGAGTGCGCGCGCGCCCGGGGGAGTGGCGCCGCCGCGAGGGCGCGTCCCCAGTCGCTCGCCCGGGCGGGAAAGGAGGGTGCGAGCCGCTGGGACCGCAGCTAGTTACCCGCCGCAGCCTTTGCAGCCTTCGCGCTGGGCCTGGGAGCAGATTCCAGCCTGCCACGCCCCAGGCTGGAGCCCCCTGGGAGGCGGGCGTCGGGGAAGCGGGTCTTGAACTCTGACTGCAGGAGGGACGGGGCGTCCCCGGTGCAGTGTAGACCCCAGGGAACCGGTTGGGGCAAAGGAGCATCTCCTAGAGCTCGGCCTTCCCCGCCCCCTCTAAAACCCGAGGAGGTCGTACCGCCAAGCTGCAGGTCTCCCCCAACCCTTCTGCCTTTACTCCTCAGGGTCCCTGAAGAGATGGTGTCAGGCAGGGGTTCTGCACCTTTTGGGGTCCCTTGACTTCTGTGAGAAGCTGATGACGGCTCGGGACCCTCTTCCCGGAGAAATGTTTATGCACGTAGACTCAGTATTGAACACAGTTTCAAGGGCTGTAATGAGAAGCCCTGCTCCCCAGCCACCACTGTATCCTGCCGGTTTGACCTCAGGCTTACCTTTGAATGGCTTTAAGGGAGTTTTCTTTTCCTCCTGATTATTGAAGGTCAAGTGTCAGGAACTGATTTGTCCACTTTTCCTCAAGGAAATGTCATACGAGACCATTTTATAAACAGTAAGCTTGAACATGTCATAGAGAGGCGCCTGGGTGGCTCAGTCGGTTGGGCGTCTGACTCAGGTCATGATCTGTTTCATGGGTTCCAGCCCCCTGTCGGGCTCTGTGCACTGGCTGCGTGGAGCCTGCTTGGGATTCTCGCTCTCTTTCTGCCCCTCCCCTGCTCATTCTCTCTCTCTCTCTGTCTCTCTCAAAATAAATAAATTAAAAAACATTTTTTTAAAGAAAATGTCATAGAAAACTCAGACCCCACACCATACCCTTTGGTTTGGGTATTTGCTCTCAGGTCATCCCTTACCACCAGAATTACATTTCCCACCCCGGGCCCATCCCAGAAAACTGACCGGAAGGCTGCCCAGAAACCCTAAGAACCTCCAGGTGGAATTCTGAGAGGAATCCCCTCCCTTCCTCAAACCTTGAACATGTAGGGTCTTGGATCTCTGCTCTCACTACTGTGCACACCTACATCATTCTATCCCTACTTCAAAATCTGGCCCAGGTGAATGTTAGACACTGTGGAAGTCTGGAGCCTTCAAAAACTAAAAGCAAATGAAGCAAGTTTGCACAGAGACACAAAAATTCATCTGGAGATGACTCTACCTGTTTGAAAGCTTCGCTGTTGCAAATCTTTAAATATGGATATTTAAATTGGATATGGGATTTAACGTGCCAAATCCCTAAAAAAAAAAAAAAAAAAAAAAATAGCTCTTCAGGAGGCGCCTGGGTAGCTCAGCCTGTTGAGGGTCTGACTCGATTTCAGCTCAGTCATGATCTCACAGTTGGTGGGTTTGAGCCCTGCATCGGGCTCTGCACTGACAGCACAGAGCCTGCTTGGGATTCTCTCTCTCTCCTTCTCCCTCTCTCTCTCTCTCTCTCTGCCCCTTCCCCGCCCGTGCTCTCTGTCTCTCTCAAACTAAATAAAGTTAAAAAAAAAAAAATAGCTCTTCGGGAATATGTATCTTAGGAGCTGAAAAAAAATTTTAATGTTTGTTTATTTCGAGAGAGAGCATGAGTGGGGGAGGGGCAGAGAGAGAGGGAGAGAGAATCCTCAGGAGGCTCCATGATGCTTGACCCAGGGCTCCATCTCGCGAACTGCAAGGTCATGACCTGAGCTGAAATCAAGAGTCCCACACTCAACGACTGAGCCACCCAGGTGCCCCATTGGTTCTATTGTTTCTACTTTGCTGCTGCTGCTGCTTTGAAATTCTTGTGTATAGTTCGTGTGCAGAGCTTAGATATCTATATATGCATGAATTTATAATAAATTATGGAAATAATCCCATAAAATGAAGAGACGGCAAGATTTGGATATATTTCTTAAAGCTTTTAGAAATAGCATAACCACAATTCTTCTAAATCATAAACACAAATCTTCTGAAATTATACCAAAAATAGACTTCAGCCTAGGAATTTTATGATATTCTGATAATATCACAACATCAAGGAGCATCTTTCCATGTCATGCAAGAATCAGTATAAAATTTGCATTTCTCGGGGCGCCTGGGTGGCGCAGTCGGTTAAGCGTCCGACTTCAGCCAGGTCACGATCTCGCGGTCCGTGAGTTCGAGCCCCGCGTCAGGCTCTGAGCTGTCAGCACAGAGCCCGATGCAGGGCTGGAACTCACAAACCAAGAGATCATGACCTGAGCCGAAGTCGGATGCTTAACTGACGGAGCCACCCAGGTACCCCATAAAATTTGCCTTTCTAAAATGAAAAACCGGGGTGCCTAGGTGACTCATTCGGTTCAGCATCCAACTCTTGATTTCGGCTCAGGTCATGATCCCAGGGTTGTAGGATCGAGCCCTGCGTCCAGTTCCAGGCTGAGTGTGGAGTCTGCTTTGGATTCTCTCCCTCTCTCTCTCTCTCTCTTTCTCTCTCTCTCTCTCTCTCTCTTTCTCTCCTTCTGCCCTCCCCTGCTTGCATGTGCTTGCATGCTCTCTCTCTCTCTCTCTCAAAAATAGATAGATGATAGACAGACAGATAGAATGGAAAACAGTTTCATTATTTCAACCAAGATATCAAGTACCTTATTTTTGCTGTTGCCATAACTGTTATACCCAGACAGTCCTCACAATTTGAATCATTGAAAGTTAAAACAGCTAACCACATATTTCACAGGAATGGCCATAATATCCTGTTAATGCCAACGGGCAAAATAAAGAATATTTGCAAATGTCACTGAGATAAAATGCAAGGCACATCATGAGTCAGTTTTCCAAATAAAGCATCTGAAATAGTAAAACTCGTAAAAGAAATGTTATTGATGTGATGATAAAGAAAATGAAAAATGTTTGATTTCAAAAGAATTTTAATCAAACACTTACACAGCATTTTCTGTGAGGTCTAAAACAGAATGCAACATCTTCAGCCATGAAGCATTTACTAGAACTTCAAAAAAGAACAGAAACGTATCATTGTGATCTAGATCTTTGCTCCCTCTTATGAACCACGTACCTACTGACCTGAGAAAACAGTGTGCCAGGTGAGTTCTCCAGAAATAGGCGCTGAGTTGGGGTGCAAGATGATTATTAGAAATTAACACAGGTGGTGGGAGGGGCTGGAAACAACACTGGCGAAGAGGGAACTGGGATGCAGGCAGGGCCACCCCAGCAGAAAGCTCTGGAACAAAACGTCACACTCGACCTGCATTGAGCCAAAATGCCCCAGCTAGCCTGTCACCTGATGGGGCTGCCCCGGGAGCTGTGAGCTCAGGTGATCTAGGCTGCTGTCAGGCTGAGACCCTGAAGGAGCAGAGAGCTGGAGGCAGACCGTAGTTCCCCAACTAAACAGCACATCCTTCCTCCCGCAGAGGTCTGGACGGCACATCTCCAAGTCGACAACAATGTTTTGGAAAATTTCTGTGTCAGGCTGTAAAATTTCTATCAGTGTCAATGACGTGTCTATTGTTTCCCAAAGAAGTATGTTTGTTTTGCCTTGGCTTTTTTTTTTTTTTT